CATGCTGTCGTCCGTGGCGTCAGCGTGTTCTGCCTCCTCCCACGGTGCCCGGCGGTCCCAGGGTCCCCACGTCCTCGCCAGCATGTGGTGGTCTCTGTCGGTTTGATAGCAGCCATCCTAGGAGTGCGCGGTGGTCCCACTGCAGTTTTGAGTTGTGTCTTCCTGATGACCAGTGACGTTGAGCATCGTTTCATGTGCTTTTTGGCCCTGTGTGTGTCTTCAGAGAAATCTCTGTTCAAAACTTGCTGGTTTGTTTTTTAGTTGAGCTGCAGAGTTCTTTATTCTGGCTATGAATCCCTTATCAGATACATGGTTTGCAAATGTTTTCTCCCATTCTATAGATTGTCTTCTTATTCTGCTGTTTCTTTTGATGGACAAAATACTTGAATTTTCATATCTTTTTTCACAAAAATCTTTTTTTTGTTACTGTGCCTTTGCTGTTATATCCAAGATCACTGCCATATCTGATGCTGTGAGGCCTCTGTGCTGTGTTTTCTCTGAGAGTTTCGCTTGGCGTGTTAGCTTTAGGCCTTGTTTTCACTCTTCTCCAGTGAAGCACAGCAGATTGCTGAGGCGGCTCAGTGGTAAAGAAGCCGCTTGCCAGCGCAGGAGACGCAGGCTCATCCCTCAGTCCCGGGTCGGGAAGACTCGCTGGAGGAGGGCCTGGCAGCCCACTCCAGTGCTCTTGCCTGGAGAATCCCAGGGACAGAGGAGCCTGGCGGGCTGTAGTCTGTGGGGTCGCAGAGTCAGACACGGCTGAGCGCGCACGTGGGGCAGATTTCCAGTGCTGTGCCAGACCCTTCCATTTTTAGTCAAGTCCCTCTCGGCCTGGCCTCCAGAGACAGCAGGCAGGTTGGAGGGCATGGACCACCCGCCCCATTGCTCTTGCGGGGCAGCAGGTACCTCCTTTGAAGGCCAGCCCCAGGGGTGGGCTGCTCCTTGCTTCGGGTTTGCCCCGTCCACCTGTACCTGTGGCGGTGGGGCAGGTGTGGGCATGTACGAGCTTCTGGCCCCGTCCAGGCAGAGAAGCAGTCAGGAGGATGGCGAGCAACTGCAGACCTAGAGGGTGGGTCGTCCAGATCCCCAGGTCTCTCCGGGGGCAGATTTGAGCACCTCTGGGCCTACGAGCAGGAAGGGAGGTGGCCTGGTGCTGCCCAGGCTGGCTGAGCCTGGGGCCGAGACCATGCGGTCTCCATGCCCGTCGTGTGCCTGGCTGTCACCGTGTTGGGAAGACCGAGGGGCAAGACATACACAGCCCTCCCTGTGCCTTTTCGTGAGAAGAGAAACAGGCTGAATCCTGGGTGTTATGGGGAGGGGATCCCATGCAACCAGTGGGCCAAAGGACAGTCAGACTGTTGGTCACTGTTGGGGAGCGGGTATCCTGCGAAGGGGAGGCAGCTGGTCCACCCTGGGGTCCCCTTTCTGGCCGAGGTGACCTGAAACGCTGTTTCTTTGGTTAAGGGAGCAAAGCTTATACTGGCTGGCCATTCAGCAGCTGCCCACCGACCCCATAGAGGAGCAGTTCCCGGTGCTGAACGTGACGCGGTACTACAACGCCAACGGGGACGTCGTGGAGGAGGAGGAGACGTCCTGCACCTACTACGAGTGCCACTACCCTCCCTGCACCATGATAGAGAAGCAGGTGCGTGCAGGCCGCCGCCCGGGGCTGCGCTTCTCCCCTGGGGGCTGCCCGGCCGCAGCCAGGCCCTCCAGCTGCAGCTCAGGCGGCCGGGCCCCCCAGGTCCGCATGTGACCGGAGCGGGCTCTTCTGTGTCCTTTCAGCTCCGGGAGTTCAACATCTGCGGACGCTGCCAGGTGGCACGCTACTGTGGCTCTCAGTGCCAGCAGAAGGACTGGCCGGCCCACAAGAAGCACTGCCGCGAGAAGCGGCGCCCCTTCCCGCACGAGCTGGAGCCTGAGCGATGACGCGGCGGCCGCGCGGCTCTCGGCTCCCCGGCGGCGGCGGGCCTGGGGGTCGCCCTGCACTGGCTCCTGCCCCCGCCCAGCAGCCAGAGGCTCGGAGCAGAGACAGCTGGGAGGGCCTGCCGGACGCTTCTCATTATTTATATGTTAATATGTTTGTAAACTCATGTACAGTTTTTTGGGGGGGGAGGCGGCGGGAGGGTTCAGAAGTACAAATCGGGTCGTTTGCTGTAACGCTCACTGGGCGGCTGGGCTGAGGCGGGCGGGGGGCAGCAGGCACAGTAAAGTGGGGCCGCCCGCACCCTGGCCGCGCTCTGCTCTCTGCCTCAGGCGGCGTCTGCGGCCACAGATGGTGAGGCTGCACTCCGCCCTGAGCCTGGGCGGCGGGAGGGAGGAGACACTGGCCCATCTGGGCCCGTCAGGGGCCGCCGCTGTCACCCACACTCCTGGGGGCTCAGGGTGGGGGCCCCTGTGACTTGGAGCTGGCCTGGGCCCCCAGCGTCCTGTACACCTTGCTGAGCCCCCCAGGGGCCACACGCGGCTGTGGCTGGGACCCTGGACCATCCTGGCTCGCCCCCGGCCCCACGTGGCCCCACAGGCTCCCCGCTGTCTCCTGGGACACCCTGCGTGTGCCTCCCTGACTGGGGCCAGCCCTGGGTGGCCTTTGGTCTGTGAGCTGAACTTTCCGTGGCTGCCTTTCAGAACTTGGAGGCTTCTTGGGCAGTGTGTCTGGAGAACAGGACTGGGGAGATGGGTGCTAGCAATATGTGGGGAGCAGGCGGGCACCTCAGTCCCAGCCCTGAGGCAGGGCTTTCCTTCAGGGGAAGGGACCCCACGTGCCCACGGGTTTTTGCTGAGAAGACTTAGCTGATGTGGAGGTCAGCCAAGTTCAAGTCTTTGCTGCAAGGGGGCTGCTCTAGGTGCCCCCAGACCGCCAGGGGGCTTAGAAAACCATTGGGGAAGAGGATATATATGATTCTAAGAGGCAGTCCTGCAGATCTCAGCTGGCCTGAGGTCAGCTCTGGCCAGGGCACAGGCTTGGGGAGTGCTGTGCGGGCCAGTGTTCTGGGATCTGGGGCCACATGTGCTCAGTTCATCTTCAGATCCAGGCTCCTGGGATGAGCGCCCGCCCCAGCCTGCAGGCTGTGTGTCCTGCCTTGTGTCCTTTGGGGAGTGGCCAGCTTGGCCCTCTAGCTGGCCTATGTTCCCCGACCAGCACTGACTCCCCTGTGGTTAGCTAGTCCTCAGAAAATTCCACTGGAATGGAAGTGTTGGAGTCTTCGCTGGCCTGGAGGACGTCACACTGTGTGCTGACCTCGGGTGCTTGTTGCTGTGACTCCTGGCTCACCTGGAGTGGCCATGCCCTGGGGCTCGCTGTCAACTGTGGCTGCAGGAGTGGGGCCGAAGCTGGTGGCTGTCCCCTGCTGGTGGTGCTGTGTCTTTGTGCTGCTGCTTAGACTCTGAGTCTGGGCTGGTGCAGGGCCCGGGGGAGCTGAGAGGGTGGCTGTGGGGCTGAGGGCTTGCTCTCACTGCCAAGGCCTTTGGAGCGGCTGCCCCGGGAAGGTGCCCCGGGGCCCACAGACTGTCTGTATCCCCTTGCTTCCCCTGTCCTTTATTGGATGTCTGGCCCCTGGCTCTGCTCTGCTGATGGCCCCGCCCTCTTGACTTTTGTAGCCACACATCTGAGAGCGACTGAAAGTTCAGCATTCCTGGCTCTTACCTGTTAGGAGTGAGGCAGGGGGCTGCTTGGCCTGACTGTCTTTTGCACCTGATTAGATCAAGGTGTGTGGCTCAGCCACTTCAGGGTGTCCTCCTGCTTCCTGACCAACCTTTCTACTCTGCTTCAGCTGCCATCTGAACAGCTGATTTTTTCTAGCCATAGAAACCACCTCAGAAACCACAGGCTAACCACCCAGGTCTCCATGTGGATCTCAGTCTTGTACCATTTCCTGCAGCTGCTGTAACAAAGGAACACAAGCTGGGTGGCTTAAAACCATGTAGGGTCTAGGTCCTGCACACCAGTCTCTCAGGTCAAGGTATGGGCAGGGCGGTACTCCCTCTGAAGGCTCCAGGCTCTCCCAGCTTCCAGTGGCCTCAGGCAGTCCTTACCTTGCAGAGGCTACATACCTCCCAGGCTTCTCTGTAATAGACCACATCTCTTAAGGATGCCAGTGATACTGGATTAGGGGTACACTAATGACCTTATCTTAACTGGATGGCTTCTGTAAAGACCCTGTTTCCGAAGGTCACATTCTGTGATGTTGCAGATAAGACTTCAGCATATCTTTGAGGGAGGACACAGTTCAGTCTGGGAGATAGTGAAGGGCAGGGAATCCTGGTGGGCTGTGGTCTAGAGTCTCTAGACCACAACTTAGCCCCTGAACAATAACCGCATTCAGTTCATGACAATATCTAACACGTGCCTTCCCCAGACTTGTTCTGTAGAGTTCACTGGCTTTGTTGAATGGTGCCAGCACATAACTCAGTCTTCCAAGTCAGAGAGTGAGTGTGCTGGGTCCCCCTCCTCTATATCCTATATCTAATGGGCACAGACGCTGTCTCTTCTCCGTGTCCTCTGTTTACCTTCCTGCTCACAGTTGGGGCCTGGGGCCTTGGGGCCCACCCTGTCTCCTTTCTCTGCTGTCCTGGCAGGACTTCTGCGTCCACTGATGCGCTGCACTTAACTGCCCTCAGGCAGCTAGCGCCCTGCGGTGGACATGACCAGGGAGAGGAGGGCAGCCCGTGCCCAGGCCCTTTGGGTCAGACCCTGGACTCTGCTCCCCGAAGGCTCAGGCCCGTGGCATGCCCACCTCTACGCCCTGCTTTCCTCTGCTCCCCTTTCAGAGTCCAGCCCTCAGGTGACTCCGTGCCGGACGCTCGGGTGCCCGGTCCCAGGCCGGCCTCGCCGCCGCACAGGGCACGCGGGACGGGTTGAGGTCCGTCGGCCAGCAGGGGGCGCGGGAACGCGGCCTCGTTGGGGCGCCCGTGGGGCAAGAAGTCCCTCCCCGGAGGAGGCCTGGCGTCGACGGCGGAAGTAGAAGCAGTGCCGTCCTCCCGGCTGGGCGGGCCCAGTCGCAGAGCGCCGGCGCTCCGCGCTGTCAACGTGGATACCTTACTCCGTCTCTGCCACGCGCTGCCCGCCACCACGGCCGCCGCCGCGTCATCGGGGCGCGCGGGGGCCGATGGCCGCGTCCAGCTGTTGCAGGCGGTGGACACGGAGCACACCGTGGACTCGGTGGAGTGGTGCCCGCTGCCGGGCTGCAGGCACTTGCTGGCGTGCGGCACCTACCAGCTGTGGACGCCGGAGTACCGGCCCGCCGACCGGGAGAGCCAGGTGCGCGGGCCTCGGGCCTCGGGCGGTCTGCGACCCCAGGTGGCCGTTCCCAAGCGGCTAGGGTCCCAGATTTGAGCTCCTCTCGAGAAGGGCGAGGAGAGGCTCCTGAGAGGCAGAGCCGACCGCTAGCGTAAAGACCTCTCTGGTCTGCAGCTGTGAGGCTGGAATGGAGACATCTCGTGTGGAGCCACATGGGGTGGACGCGACCTTGGCCTGTGGCCGGAATGTAGGGTAGGAACGGCGTCCTGAAAGCGGAATGTCGTCTGTTTGCCGGCATGGCCCAGGTTATGGGTGAAGTCTAGAGCAAAGAGAAAAGGGGATGTCATAGGAACTCTACCTAATGCCTTGAAAGCATCCACTTATGTGGATCCAAACCTAAGCACTTTTAAGAGTGAAAGCTGGCACTGGGACCGTCCTAGGCAGGCAAACTGTCCCGTGGGAATCCTAACCACAGCTCCTTTCTGTTGGCCCGTTTAGAAGAAGCATTCTATCCTAATCCACCTACTCGTTAATCATATACAAAAGAAAAGACGTTTCTCCAGCTCAGAAAATGAGAGTTCCCGAGTCTTGGCACACCTCTTCTTTCCCTGTCCCTTTTCCCATCCTTTGGGCTCCTCAGTATCTGTTAAGGTATTCAGAGAACACATCTGCTTTTTTCTGTAGAGTGAACTGGATGTTGACGAGCCTCCAATTCGTTTGGGTCGTCTCTACCTGTATAGTTGCAATGAGGACAGCTCTCCTTGCCCCCTGGTTGAAGTCCAAAGAAGAGATACTTCTGCGATCCTGGACATGAAATGGTACATGTTCGGTAACAGTCCCCCTTGGTTGGAATTTGTCATGAAAACCTGATTGTTTAGTCAGAGGAGCCTGATGCCTGGCAGCATTCAACAAGACAGGGAGGCATCTGAATGAAGTTGGGCTTCATTTCTTTCCTATCCTGTCTTTCCCGCCTGTGAAGGCTGCTGTAAACTTGGGGCTCATTTCCTTTTTCAGTTTCCAAGCCGTACAGGTACTGTCTGTCTGTCTGGGAAGCAGTGCTGGTTTTCTGCTTCATAAACTGGAGGATCTTGTAGGAACAGAACTGTAGGCTCCAAACTGGTTTTGGAGCTGAAATCTATAACAGTGAGTCATGGGGGTGCCTGTTGTTCTCCTGTACTCTGGGCACATCCTGTGTTCTGACTGGCACGTGCATTCTCTCCTAGGTGTCACGTTCCAGTGGCCGGCCATCCCCTCTTGGGCGTGGCAGATGCTTCTGGGTCCATAGAGCTCCTCCGCTTGGTGCCATCTGAGGTTAGTGACTGGGCCAGGCTTAGTGAGGGGTGCAAGGAACATGGAGGGAGGCTGTGCTGAGACGAACATTTTTCTAGGATGGTCTGTTCAGTGGCGAACTTTATCATGAAACATTCTAAGGTAGCACACAGTCTTTTTTAAGTTCATGGGTTCTACATCTAACTCCAAGAGGAAGACACGTTACGTGTCACTAGCAGAGGAGCTGAAGCGACAGGCAGGTCCTTTAACCTGACGGGACCTGAACACCATATGAAGAAAGCCTGGGCCAGCATTCCTGGGCTGACGGTGCTGGGGCTGGGAAGAGCAGTGTTTTCTGGGTTGAAGTGTTTATCATTGATAATTAAGAGAGCATAGGATTCCTCTGGGCCTCCGCAAACACGACTCAGTAAGGAATCCGCCTGCAATTCAGGAGACGTGGGTTCGATCCTTGGGTCAGGAAGATCCCCTGGAGGAGGGCATGGCAACCCACTTCAATTTTCTTGCCTGGACAGTCCCATGGACAGGAACCTGGCAGACTATACTCCATGGAGTCACGAAGAGTTGGACACGGCTGAGCAACTTAGTGGTGATTCTTCTGTGTCGTACCCCAGGCAGCTGACAGCAATCCCATGGCACACATTTGTAAAGTGCCCACATGCTGGGGGACGGGAACAGGTGGAAGAAGTAGCCCTGACCACATCCTGACTCAGCGGGCGAGGGGAGTGGAGGGGGAGGCGCTGATGCAGGTGCTGCTAGTGGGCCTTGGAGCAGGTCCAGCTGGCCTCGGGTCCATGGCAGTGAGCGCTGGTGAGGACGGCCTTGCTTCCAACCTGCCGAGAGCAGTAGCCCTATTTCAGGAGAGATGGCAGGAATACCTGAGGAGGACTGGGCTCAGAACCAGAGTTGGAGGCAGGAGTAGGAAAACCCAGGAGAGATCACAGCTGCTGGGACCCTGCAGATAGAGTCAAGCCCAGAGAAACGGTGTTTCCATGGCTGGCTGTGTCCTGTGGAAGCGAGTTAGAGGAAAGTTCCCTTTGTCTTGTCCCTGGAGGCCCTGGGCGATGGGAACACACAGCAGCAGTGCTTCCAAGAGGCTGCATGGGCGCTGCGCTAGTCTCCAGGAGGGCTTGGGCAGCAGAGAGACCTGCTTCCCCTGAGGTCTCGTGTGTGGGCAGGTCCTCCTTCGGCGGTGAGGGCTCCTGGAGGGCCGGAGCTGGTTTTGCAGTGTCCTCGGGCTCTGCTCTGCAGGGGTGCCTGAGGACACATGTCTGCCGGAGTAGACAGTGGTCTCCTTGGGGGGCTGGAGCCGCTCGTTCCCCTGTGACGGCTTCCTTCTCTCTAGCAGGACACTTGGACACTGCAGCCCTGCTCCCGCTTGGCCCTGGAAAAGCAGTGTCTGGCCTTGTCCTTGGACTGGTCCACTGGGAAAGCCGGAAGGTGAGAGCCAGCGGTGGTGGGCCTAGGTCTTGGTTATTTCGTGTGAGAGAGAGAAGGAAAGCCACCTTGCTGGCCGTGACTGTGGCTCTCATGCCTGGGAGTGTCACTGCCAGTCTTTATCGTGAAAGAAATAGGGGGCGTGTTTTCACCGGGGAAAGGCGACCCTAGTTTATTTTGACAAGCTCATGGCAGCTTTAGTTTCTGCCCTGGCAAGCCTCATAGGAGGCTTGTTCACATACCAGCGCCTAGAGAGCCTCTCTCTGCTGTGTCTTGGGGGCATAAAGTGTCCCTGCTTAGGAACCACAAGAGGTGAGGAGTCTGGGGCAGCGAATCGATTTCAGCCAGATTCTCCATTGGTTCCCTGTGTCCAGGGCCAGTGACCAGCCCTTGAAAATCATTAGCAGCGACTCCAAAGGGCAGCTCCACCTCCTGAAGATCAGCGAGGCGGGGCCCGGACTGCAGGCTGTGGTCACGTGGCAGGCCCATCGGTTTGAGGCCTGGGTTGCTGCTTTCAATTACTGGCAGACGGAAGTCGTGTACTCAGGTCGGTATCCTCCGCTGAGCGCCCCCTTGAAGACTTGCTGAGGGTGAGGGGCGGGAGGAAGCAGAGGAGACACAGGCCAAGGGGGTGATTCCTCCAGCCGTTTGTGGAGAGCGGTGGCGTGTGTGGGCTGGGTGGTGACGTGGGCGCCGGGAGCCCCTCCACCCTGGTGGCCGCGGAGGGCACGGGGCTCTGAGGGAAGACGGTGGAGGGCTGCGGAATCCGCAGAGGCCGAGAGCAGCCGAGGCCTCGTCTCCTGTCTGGGTGCTGGTGGCATGCCGCGCTCACCACAAGCGCGGAGGCCCTGGAGCCTCGTGCAGGCTCATCCCGCACCAGCGCGCCCCCTGCCCTGCCGGCCGGTCCCGCACCAGCGCACCCTCCGCTCTGTGGGCTTGTCCCGCACCAGTGCGCCCCCCGCCCTGCCGGCCGGTCCCGCACCAGCGCACCCTCCGCTCCGTGGGCTTGTCCCGCACCAGCGCGCCCCCTGCCCTGCCGGCCGGTCCCGCACCAGCGCACCCTCCGCTCTGTGGGCTTGTCCCGCACCAGTGCGCCCCCCGCCCTGCCGGCCGGTCCCGCACCAGCGCACCCTCCGCTCCGTGGGCTTGTCCCGCACCAGCGTGCCCTCTGCCCTGCGGGCCGGTCCCGCACCGGCGCGCTCGAAATCGTGCTCGCGGTCCCGCCCGCAGCCTTTTCTGGCTCCGCGTCCTTGCTCTCCCGACTCGGTTATCGTGTCTCCTCCACAGACACTGCGCTTCGCTGGTGGGAGCAGACCTTTCTTCTGCGATCTGGCTGCGTTGTCTTGCCAGCTCCCCGCGCTCATGCTGGGGTGCTTGCCCGAGCTTCTCTCCACGGGGCTCCGGCCGCGCCTGTGCTCCCGTGTGGCCCTGCTGCGCCCCGCGCCTCCCGAATGCCTTGGCCCCGGGACAAGGTCTGGGCACCCAAATCAGATGTCTCCATCCGCTTGCCCCTCCTGAGAGCCTGTTTCTTGGTTTTGTCTTCTGAGCATTTCTCAGAATTGGCTATATCTCTCTTCCTCTCTTTCCACTTGTCAGGACCACGGTCCCATCCTGTGGTCATGGCAGAGCCCTGGGCAGTTGCCTGCGTTCATGCTCGACCTTTTATGCGCAGCCTCCCATTCGAGGATAGAGCAGGTGTTTGAACACATGAGCTTCTCCCTCGCTCGGTCCTGAGCCTTCTGCAGCTCCCACCCAGGGTACCCAGCAGGGCCTTGGGTCTTATGTGATTGGGTTTGTGCCTACCTGCCTGGCCCTATTTTGAGTGATTCTTCCTTGCTGTTGCTCTCAGTCTTCTTTTCTTCAACTATTCTGTGTTTTCTTTAATCCTAGTTTAATTTTTCACAGGTTAATTCTACTTTTCTGGCAGGGCCCAGCTTAAAATCTTGTCTTTAGAAACATTTTACAGGTTCAGTCCCTCGCCGTTGGTCTCATGGCGCCCTGTCCTCATCGTATTAATTTTTCGTCACATCACAAGGCACATGAGATCTTAATTCCCTGACCAGGGATTGAACCTGCATCCCCTGCATTGCAAGGAGGATTCTTAACCACTGGACGGTCAGGGATGTCCTCAGATCACTTAAGATTTTGTGCTTAATGCTTATTTTCCCCGAAAGGGGATCTTTCCTGGAGTTTTTGCTGTTGTACCCTTGAACAGACACAGAACAGTAAAGACTTGATTTTTTGAGCTCTCGTTCATGGATTAATTCTTCTGCTTTGAGGCTTAGCTAATTCAAGCCACTGTGGAGTGAGACAATGTTTTAACAATTCAGGATCAATTCATTCATCCAACAAGCGTCTGTTGAGCACCTACCACATGCCAAGCACTGTCCCAGGGGCTTGGGAGATGTCTGTTAGGAAGACAAAGTCCCTGCTTTCACTGAGCTTCCAGCGCTTGGTGGAGACAGATAAGGAATGCCACGTATATTACACTTGGTGGTGAACGCACTTTGGGAAGAGGAAGGTCGGATAGGCAAGGGTATTGGGTGCTGTGGGCGGCACAGACTGTCCTGGTGTGGAGCCTTGTGTGTCTTGAGCAGTGAGTGTGCAACAGGAGGCGCGGGGTCACAGAGACAGGGTGCTGGGCTGAGGCCCCCGGGAACACGCCGGCATTTGCTCAGAGTGGAATGGAGCCATTGCGGGGTGTTGGACAGAGGAATGTTTTTTGACTTACATTTTAAAATTTAAGAGGATCCTTATCATTCTAATGAAAGAAAATGAAGAGGAACTAAAGAGGCTGTTGGTGAAGGTGAAAGATAAGAGTGAAAAAACTGGCTTAAAACTCAGCATTCAAAAAGCAAAAAATCTTGGCATCTGGGCCCATCACTTCCTGGCAAATAGATGGGGGAAAAAAGTGGAAGCAGTGACAGACTTTATTTTCTTGGGCTTCAAAATCACTGAGGACAGTGGCTGCAGCTGTGAAATTAAGACACCTGCTCCTTGGAAGGAAAGCTAGGACAAACCTAGACAGCGTATTGAAAAGCAGAGATGTCACTTTGCCAACAAAGGTCCGTATAGTCAAAGCTATGGTTTTTCCAGTAGTCATATATGGATGTGAGAGTTGGACCATGAAGAAGGCTGAGCACCAAAAATTTGGTGCTTTTGAACTGTGGTGCTGGAGAAGACTCTTGAGAGTCCCTTGGACTGCAAGGAGATCCAACCAGTCCATCCTAAGGGAAATCAGTCTTGAATGGTCATTGGAAGGACTGATGTTGAAGTTGAAACTCCAGTACTTTGGCCACCTGATGCAAAAAGCTGACTCATTGGAAAACCCTGATGCTGGGAGAGACTGAAAGCAGAAGGAGGAGGGGGCGGCAGAGGATGAGATGGTTACACAGCATCACGGACTCTGGGCGTAAATATGAGCAAACTCCAGGGGATAGTGGAGGACAGAGGAGCCTGGCATGCTGCAGTCCATGGGGTCACAAAGAGCTGGACACGACTTAGTGATTGAACAACAACCTTAGCTGTTGTGTTGAGTGTAGACTGCAGGGGGGTGAGGGTGTAGGCTAGAGACCTGCTGCACACAGAGGAGGAATGAGGTGGGGGCAGTGGAGAGGAGCAAGGGTGGGAAACTGCTGCACGAAGGTAGATCAGTAGGAGCTCCTGGTGGAGCCCGTGGAGTGTGAGAGAAGGGAGCCCGGTGTGCAGAGAAACCACAGCAGTTATGTTTACGGATCTGCCACGGAGTGGCAGCTTGTATTGAGGCTCACCCGCAGCTCAGTGCTGGGATCGTGGCTTCTGCCAGTCCAAGGACACAGGTCACACTCACCCCGTCCCCGTCTGTGGTGCGCCCGGGGCATGCTGGTGGGTGGGCAGGGGGCGCGTTTGGTGTGGTCGGCCATGTGACTGGCTTGTTCTTTTTTGTCCTCCCTGCCCGTCTTCCTTCAGGATGTCACGCCCGTCTCTCGGCATCGCTTTTCTTCAGAGACTGGCTGTGCGTCTGGGCACCAGCTCCCTCTTGTTCCTGTCCCTTTGGTTTCCCCAAAAGAAGCCCTTTCACTGCAAGGCTACAAGGGACCTTTCTCTTTAAAACACACGGAAATGTGTCGCCAGTTGCAGGTGTCTGCGGAAACTCCTGCAGACACATCTGTCCTAAAGCGCCCGGATGTAGCTGCGCCGGCTCCGGGCGGCAGGAGTCGGAAGGGCTGAGTCCGCGTGGCTGGTCGCTCTGGACCCGTGACTCTTCCTGCCCTTCTCTTGCAGGTGTGGCCCCCGTTTCTCCCTTCTCTGCAGCGTGTGAAGACACGATGGTGCACAGGTGGCTGCCTCTGGGGCTGGCCTGCCTGTGGCAGCCTGCCCATGTGGGAACGTCCTCACGGGCGTGACTGCTCCCAAGAAATGGCCGGTGCGCATCCACAGCGTGCCTCCTGACCAGGGGGATGGGCTCTGTTTCCGTGCAGGTGGGGACGATGGCCTCCTGAAGGGCTGGGACACCAGGACACCCGGCACAGCCGCCTTCAGCAGCCGCAGGTGAGTCCTCATGGGGCCAGCCCTCCTGTGCCGCCGTGCCCCGCCCCGCCCCGCCCCTGGCTTCTGTTGGGGAGCTGCGGGGTACCTGCTCAGTCCCCCGCCCCCCGCAGACACTCCATGGGCGTGTGCAGCATCCAGAGCAGCCCCCACCGTGAGAACGTGTTGGCCACGGGAAGGTGAGTCCCAGCCGTGGCACCACTTCCCCCTGCGGCCACTGTGGCATCAGACCGGGCTGCTCTTTGAACCAGAGTGTGGGTGTCAGGGGCTCAGGGAGGGACTGCGTCCTGGAGGGGCGGGTCCGGGTCTCCTGGGAGGGGTACCCTGCCCCCGGAGCCCCGCTTTCCCGCACACTGCTTGAGATTCGTGGGTTGCAGCTATGACGAGCATGTTCTCCTCTGGGACACGCGGAGTCTGTGGCGGCCACTGGCTGACGTGCCTGTGCAGGGCGGGGTGTGGAGGCTCAAGTGGCACCCGTTCCACCGTGACCTGCTCCTAGCGGCCTGCATGCACGGCGGCTTTACGATCATCAACTACCAGACGGCAGCAGGTGAGCGGTTTCCCCACCCCTGCCCACCAGGCTCCTCCTCTGTCCTGACACGTCCTGGCTCATCCGGCCTTGCCGTCAGGGTGACTCCCGAGCCTCAGCTGCAGCCGCTGCTCTGTAACCACGGTCCTCGCCTGCTCGTCCCCGTTATCTGGGTGCCTCTGCACCCAGCAACCCCCAGCCCCACCTGGGCCTGCAGGACGGTCACCACTGCGGACAGTTCTGGCTCAGCGGCCTGCGTTCCAGACACGCTTCAGCTGCTGCCCCGGTTCTTCCTCCTGCTCTGGGCAGAACCAGCAGGGCCGGAACCGTCAGGCGGCCCTGGCCTTCCTCCCACCAGGGGTCCCTCACGTTTTCTTTTCTTGAACCCCCACCCTGCTCTTGTCCTCAATCCTCGCCGGCACCGGGGTCCTGTCCCCTCCTTGGTGGGAGCAGGCGGCCGCACCCCCACGCGCTCCCCGCCGTCTCTGGCCCGCGGTGGCCGCCTGTAGGCTTGCTCGTCTGAGCCCCGGCTCTGCTCCTGCCGGGTCGCTGCCCTTTGGCCTGTGGACGCCCCGGCGGTCCTCTGCCCTCTCTTCTCTCGTAGTGTAGGCTTTACAGTGACAGGTTGCCTTCTGAACACTGCTTGCTCTGTGTCCCATGAGGTTTGGTATGTTGTGTTTTTATTTTCATTCATCTCAAAAAGTATTTTCCAATTTCTTTGTCATTTCTTCTTTGACTCATTGGTTACCTTGGAGTGTGCTGTTTAATTTCCACATTTTTGAGAACATCCTGAACTTCTGTTACTGATTCGAGTTTTAGGGTTACTGGGACTCACTGTGGCCTGGTTGTGGTCCGTCCGGGGAGGCCCGCGTGCTCTGCTCCCGTCGGGGGCGGGCTCAGCCTCTGTTCTTGGTGATCTATCTGGTCATTCATTTCTGAAAGTGGGGAGTCGGTGTCTCGAGCGCTGTTCTGGTTTTAACTGGACTACAGTTGCTTCGACTGTCGTTGCTGATTTCTGTCTGTTTCCTCCCTCATCTCTCTCAGGTTTTGTTCAGAGACCTGGGGGCTGCTTAGGTGTGTATATGTCTGCTCGTGGTTGTGTGTCTTCCTGATGTGTTGACCCTTCTCATCACAGGACGTCCCTGTTTATCTTGAGTCACAGTTGTTTTAAAGCCTCCGTCATCTGATCCTAGGAGAGGCACTCACACTTCCTCCCGGGTGCTGTTTGCGGTCAGTCTGTCCGTGGCTGTGTGTCTGCAGTGTGTGTCCTGTAGGTTATGCGCCGGTGTCGGGCCTCCCGGAAGTGGCGCTCTGCCCTCCGAGTGAGGGGGTCAACAGCCGCGAGGTGCCACTTTGTCCCTTTGTTGCTGATGTTGGTTTTGGTCGTGTGGTTAAGGTGACAGCTCGCTTTCCGGTTGCTCTGGGTTCGTTTTGGGCTCTCCCTCTCCCACACCCTGGACAAGCTGTTTTTCCGGGAAGTCCTGGGTCCTCTTAGCGGTGAGTGTGTGTACATGCGTGTGTGTGCGCGTTTGTACGAAGTCCTGGGTCCTCTTAGCGGTGAGTGTGTGTACATGCGTGTGTGCGCGCGTTTGTACGAAGTCCTGGGTCCTCTTAGCGGTGAGTGTGTGTGCATGCGTGTGTGTCTGCGCGTCTGTACATACATGCATGCTCATGCTTGTGTGTCTGTGCACATGGATCTGTGTGTGTACACGCGTGTGAGTCAGAACACGCGTTCCTGCTGACACCTCTGGCTCATTCCAGCACCGCAGGCTTCTCTCTGCTGCTCCTGTTCTGTGTCTGCCTGGCTCCCAGCAAGCCTTTACTCATGTGCCTGAGCCTGTGGGCTGCCGCCGCCACACCACGAGCAAACCTACACACTCCAGTGGGTCCAGGTGCTCTTGCTGTTCTGTTTGTTCCATTAGTTTGATTTAGCCAGTGTACCGTGTTCAGAATTTACTTGGATTGGAGTTGTTTTTTCTTCTGTATGGCAATTATATTTGAAATACAGTTAGGTTCGTTTTTTTTTAAAAGGATGTTTTTATTCATCCTCATCGATTTAATTTTTCTTTTGAATGTATAAAATCATTAACAATGTTCTAGAGATGAAAATTACATTAGGAACTTCCCTGGCGGTCCAGTGCTTAAGACTCTGTGCTTCCACTGCAGGAGGCGTATGTTCAATCTCACACAGGGGAGCAAAGGTCCTGCGTGCCACGGTGCAGCCAAAAAAAGAAAAAAAAGATGTGTTAAAAGGCATGCTCAGACTTGGGGAGGTGGTGAAGGGCAGGAAAGCCTGGGGTGCCGCAGTCCACGGGGCCGCAGAGTCGGACACCACTGAGCAACTCAGCAGCAGAGATACCTGTCCTCCTCTTGGCATTGCTCCCGCTTACCTCTTGTCGGTAACCTATCCATGAGGTTTTTGTTACAATTCTGTGTCTTTGTGCAAAAATTAGCCTGTATGTTTGTATATCCATACTTCTCCTTTGGTGCACAAAAGATGTTCTGTATAAATTCGTGTTTTGTTTGCTTCACTTTTAAAGCACATCATGGAAATCTCTCCTTATTGGTTCATAGAGTTGTCTTTTTTTCTTTTTAAATTATATAGCACTCCATTTAGTGGGTATACTCTAGTTTTTTCTTCCAATTTTCTATATGAGTATTTGGGTTATTTCTAATATCTTATAATCACAAATAATGCTTCATATATGTTGTTTTGCATCTGTGTTTCTGCTTGTTGGAGGTGTATTTTCAGGGTTACTGCCTACATGTGGGATTGCAGGGTCCACAGACTGTTATCTGTCAGATTTCATCATCTCACCAGCCACAGATGAGAACCCTGCTTCCCTACAGCCTTGCCAGCAGAATGTGTCACCAGCTTTGTAGTTTTGAGTCTGATGGGTGTGAAAATGACATCTCACAGTAGTTGGAATTTGCATGTCCCTAAGTAGGAGTGAAACTGAATATATTTTCACTTGTTGAAGGGCTGGTTTTATATTCCTGTTTTTCTGAATTGTCTTTTGCTTGTTTTTCTCTCTGAATCCTGGTCTTTTTCTCCCTTGGTTTAAAGAGTTCCTGTGTACTAGCCCATTGTATTAGTGGCATCAGCCCTTAATTTTTGATTTATATTGGGAATAATTTTTCTGTTTTCTTACCCTGATTTTGCCTATAGTGTTTTTCCTCCCATACAAAAGTTGGGTTTTTTTTTTTTCAAATGTAATCAAATTTATAGGTTTTTTCATTGAGTCTAGATTTTTGAATCCTAGTTAAACACAGCTAGATGAATTCTGAAGGAATTCATCAGTGTTTTCTCATACTGTTGCAAATCATCTTTTTATAATTAGAATTTTGATGCGAGTCCTCCTGTGTGGTATGTGGAACTGTCCCGACACTGTTCCTGGAAGCCCATCCTCCCCCGCCCCCACCCCCGGGACTCAAGACACCAGCTCTTGTGCGCAGGCACTTCTGGTGCTTGTGTGGACCCTGCATTTCTTGTCTTCTCCTCTGCCCCCTCTGGCTGTCTTGATGTGTTCACACCTGCTCTTTAACCATGGAAACATTTAGTATGTTTGTTACATTGGGCTTACTGCCTTCTCTAGGTCTTTCTCAAGGACTTCCTGACTATTCTTATGTTTGAACTTGAGTGTCAACTTAGCTTGTCCCAGAAAAAAAATGCATATTAGTTTTTTATAGGGATTGCGTTAGATACAAATCAACTTTCCAACTGACTTATTTATCATCTGGGATCTTATTCAAAAAAAGGGATACCTTTCCATTTGTTCATATCTGTTCCTGTATCTTTTTGCAGTTGTTCATTTACTAAGTCCTGTCTGATTCTCTGTGGTCCCATGGACTGCAGCACACCAGGCTCCTCTGTCTTTCACTATCTCCCAGAGTTTGCTCAAACTCATGTTCGTTGAGTCGGTGATGCCATCCAACCATCTTATCCTCTGTCGCCCCCTTCCCCTCCTGCCCTCAATCTTTCCCAGCATCAGGGTCTTTTCCAGTGAGTCAGCTCTTGGCATCAGGTGGCCAAAGTGTGGGAGCCTCAGCTTCAGCAGCAATCCTTCCAATGAACATTTAGGGTTGATTTCCTTTAGGATTGACTGGTTGGATCTCCTTGCAGTCCAGGGGACTCTCAAAAGTCTCTTCAGCACCATAATTCAAAAGCATTAATTTTTTGATGCTCAGCCTTCTTCACAATCCAGCTTTCATGTCCATACATGAATGCTGGAAAAACCATAGCTTTGACTATATGGACCTTTGTTGGCAAAGTGATATTTCTCCCTTTTAATACACTGTCTAGGTTGGTCATAGCTTTTCTTCCAAGGAGCAAGTGTCTTTTAATTTCATGGCTACAGTCACCATCAGCAGTGATCTTGGAGCCCAAGAAAATAAAATTTCTCACTGTTGCCATTGTTTCCCCATCTATTTGCCATGAAGTCATGGCACCAGATGTCATGATCTTAGTTTTTTGAATGTTGAGTTTTAAACCAGCTTTTTCACTCAACTCTTTCACCTTCATCTAGAGGCTCTTTAGTTCCTCTCCACTTTCTGCCTTTATGGTGGTGTCATGTGCATACCTGGGATTGTTGATATATCTCTCAGCAATCTTGATTCCAGCTTGTGATTCATGCAGTCCAGCATTTCGCATGATGTACTCTGCATGTAAGGTAAATAAGCAGGGTGACGATATACAGCCTTGATGTACTCCTTTCCCAATTTTGAACCAGTCCACAAGAACTAGCTTTTCTTCTATGTGCATACATTGTACATTTCTTGTTAAGTGTATTCCTCAGTAATCTAATGTTTTTGTTGCTCTTGTAGGTGGGGATTCTCTTCACTGTATCTTCTAACTAAATTATTGTCTACTTGAAAGTTGTTGGGTTTTTTGTTGGTAGTTTCATATTCTGCCAGTTATAAACTTGTGTTTCCATTAGTTTTGTTATTGATTCCTTGGGTTTTGCAAGTAAATATTGTGTCATCTGCAAAAGATGAGTTTTATTCTTTATTTTCCAAATTGA